TGCGAACCAGACAATCGCGGTTCAATTCCCAGTCAGGGCACATGCCAGGGTTGCAGGCCGGTTCCCTGCAGGCCAGTTCCCAGCGGGGGACGCATGAAAGGCAACCATACATTGATGTTTCTCTTTCTCTCTCTCCTTCCCTTCCCCTCTAAAGATAAATAAATTAAAAAAAAAAAACAAACAAAAAACTACTGACAGACAAAAGCCCTGGACCAGATTCTTTCACAGGAGAATTCTACAAAACATTTAAGGAGGGGCTAACCCCTATCCTTCACAGACTATTCCAAAAAATCCAAAATGATAAAAGACTCTCAAAGTCTTTTCATAAAGCCAGTATCGTCCTAATCCCCAAACCATATAAAGACACAAAAAAGAAAGAAAACTTCAGGCCAATATCTCTGATGAACATAGATGCTAAAATACTCAACAAAATATTGGCAAATCACATCCAACAATACATCAAAAGGATCATGCACCATGACCAAGTGGGATTCATCCTAGGGATGTAAGGATGGTACAATATTAGCAAATCAGTAAATGTAATACATCACATAAACAAAAGCAAAGACAAAAATCACATGATCATATCAATAGATGTGGAAAAAGCATTTGATAAGATACAGCACCCATTTATAATAAAAACACTCAACAAAGTGGGAATAGAGGGAGCATTCCTCAACATAATAAAGGCCATACATGAGAGACCTACAACTAACATCATACTCAATGGGCAAAAACTAAAATCTTTTCCACTAAGATCAGGAACAAGACAAGGTTGCTACTTTTACCACTTCTATGCAACATAGTATTGGAAGTTTTTGCCACAGTGATCAGAAAAGAAAGAGAAATAAAAGGCATCCAAATCAGAAGAAAGGAGGAAACAAAACTGTCATTGTTTGCAGATGACATGAGAGTATACATAGAAAATCCTATAGATTTGGCCCAAAATCTGCTCAACCTAATAAATGAGTTTGGCAAAACAACAGAATACAAAGTCAATATCCATAAATCAAAGGCATTTTTGTATACCAACAATGAAACAGCAGAAGCAGAAATCAAGAAAAAAATCCCATTTGATTCAGCAAAACAAACAAACAAACAAACAAATAAATAAATAAAATACCTAGGAATAAACCTAACCAAGGAGATAAACGACCTGTATACAGAAAACCACATAATACTGAAAAAGAAATCAAGGAAGACACAGACAGATGGAAACATATACTGTGTTCATGGATTGGAAGAATTAACATCATCAAAATGTTCATACTACCCAAAGCAATTTACAGGTTTCAATTCAATACCTATTAAAGTACCAATAACACATTTCACAGACATAGAACAAATACTTGAAAAATTTATATGAAACCATAAATGACCCCAAATAGCAGCTGCAATTTTGAGAAAGAGGAACAAAGTAGGAGGGATCACAATACCTGATACCATACTGTATTAAAAGGCTACTGTAATCAAAACAGCCTGGTACTACCATAAAAACAGGCACATAGACCAATGGAACAGAACAGAGAGCCCAGAAATAAACCCAAGTTACTATGGACAATTAATATTTAAAAAATGGGGCAGCAACATAAAATAGAGTAACAATAGCCTCTTCAACAAATGGCGTTGGGAGAACTGGACAGCTATGTGCAAAAAAATGAAACTTGAGCACAAACTTACACCATACACAAAAATAAATTCAAGGTGGATAAAACATTTAAATATTGTGGTGACACCATCAAAGTCCTAGAGGAGAACATAGTCAGAAAAATCTCAACTATTTCACACAGCAACATTTTTACTGTTATGTCCCCTAGAACAAGGGACATAAAAGAAAGAATAAATAAATGGGATCTTATAAAAATAAAATGCTTCTGCATGGCTAAAGAAAACAGTATTAAAATAAAAAGAGAACCAACTGTATGGGAAAACATATTTGCCAATGATACCTCAGACAAGGGCTTAATATCCAAAATATATGAGCAACTTACACAACTCCACTCTAAGAAGACAAGCAACACAATTAAAAAATGGGCTAAGGACTTGAACAGACACTTCTCCAAGGAGGACCCAGAGACACATGAAAAGATGCTCAGTACTGCTGGCTATCAGAGAGATGTAATCAAATCAGAGAGATGCAAATTAAAACCACAATGAGATACTACTTTACACCACTCAGAATGGCCATCATAAACAAAGCAATAAACAAGTGTTGGAGAGGTTGTGGAGAAAAGGGGACCCTAGTTCACAGTGTTGGTGGGATTGCAGACTGTGATTTCCACAATCACTATGGAAAACAATATGGAATTTTCTCAGAAAACTAAAAATGGACCTGCCTTTTGACCCAGCAATTCCACTGCTAGGATTATATCCTAAGAACCCTGAAATACCCATCCAAAAGCACCTATGCACCACAATGTTCATAGCAGCATAATTTACAATAGCCAAGAGTTGGAAGAAACCTAGGTGCCCATCAGTAAATGAATGGATCAAAAACTATGGTACGTTTACACAATGGAATTCTATGGAGCAGGAAGAAAGAAGGAGCTCCTACCCTTTGTGACAGCATGGATGGAACTGGAAAGCATTATGCTGAGTGAAATAAGCCAGGCAGTGAAAGACAAATACCATATGATCTCACCTTTAATAGGAATCTAAACAACAAAAAAACAAACAAGCAAAATATAACCAAAGACAGTGAAATAGAGAACAGACTGATAGTGACCAGAGGGGAGAGGGGAGGGAATTTCAGGGGAAAAGGGGAAACATTTGCTGGAACAAGTATAAAGGACACATGGACAAAAACTAGGGGAGGGGGGGAAATGGGAGGGAGGTGGGGAGGGCTGAGTCAGTGGGCTGGGAGGGGAGTAAAAGACAGAAAACTCTACTTGAACAATAATTAAAGTAAAATATATTAAAAAAATAATGGACACCAGATGTTAGCAGTACTTAGGGTGATGGAGGTCGAATACTTTTCTTCTCTCTATATATATTTATTTTCTCTACATGTTTTTGCATTTTTTCTGTGTTATTTTCAATATGACTCAGAGCAGATTTCCAGTTCTCTCGGAATCCCCTCTCAACCCTCCCAGGCTGGGCTATGTTTCTTCTCTGCCTATTCCTAGTATTGGGCAAACATTCCTAGTGTTTCCAGTACTATGCAGCCTCTGATTTCTTGATGAGAGAACCTCCGAATGTTCATTGTTATATTTCTCATATCTTGGAGTGTGCTGAAAGTGGCTGATGATTGATATCTATTGGCTAAAGAAATTGAAGTCAGCAAAACATTTTTGCTAAGTTCAATAATTTACCAAATCTAACCATCTGTGGTATTTTGAGGCCTAGAAGGTTAAAATAAAGCTTTTGGCTTTCTTTTTCACCTTCTGAGCATTTTATTAGTCAGATTGGTGATAGAATTGATCACTGGAGTTTGAGAAATGGATATATATTGTTATGGGCTGGGTGTTTGTGTCTCCTAAAATTTATGTTAAAATCCTAATCCCTGGTGTGATGGTATGTGAAGATAGAAACTTTGGGAGGTGATTGTGTCATGACAATGGAAGCTATGTGTGGCATTAATCTCCTTATAAGAGGAAAGCCCATAAGAACTTGCTTGCTGTGGCTCTGTTCTCTGCCATTTGAGGATACCAAGACATGTTTCTAAACCAGGAAGAGAGCTCTCACCAGATAGCCAACCTGCCAGCACCTGGTCTTCTGAGAAAGATGTCTGTTACTTATGCCACCCAGTCTATTAAGACATATGTGAACATGTTTTAACTATTTGAACTTAAAATTTATTTTGAGAAAATTGTAGATCAGCATGTACTTCTAAGAAAAGAAGATAGATTTTTTTGTACTGTTCTGTACTCTGTACCTAATTTCCCCCAATGATAACATCTTGAAAAACTCTAGTACAGTATCACAACCAGGATGTTGAAATTGATATAGTCAAGACACAAAACATTCCTATCACTACGAGCTTCCCTTATAGCCAAACCCATTTTCTTCCCACTCCCTCTGTAAAACCATACTGTAACCTTTTGGGATTATTTTTTACTCAGCATAATTCTTTGGAGAGGTTACTGTGTGTGTCAGTGGTTTGTTCCTCTTCATTGCTGAGTAGTATTTCCTGGTGTGGATGAACCACAGTTTGATTAACCATGCCCACCGAAGGACCTCTGTACTGTTTTTCAACTTTAGGCTATTATGAATGAAGTTTCTATAAACATACTTGTATAGGTTTCTGTGTGAACTTAAGTTTTCATTTCTCTGAAACAAATGCCCTGGAATGTAACTGCAGGGTCAAATGCTAGTTAGTTGTAGGAGTGTCTTTTAAGAGACTGTGGCTGTAGCATTTTATATTCTCACCAGCAATGTCTGACTGACCTAGTTTATCTATATCCTTGCCAGAATTTGGTATTGTCACTATATTTATTTTACCTATTCTGATAGCTGTGGTATATTTCACTGTGGTTTAACTTTGTACTTTTCCAATGGCTAAGGAAGTCAAACATCTTCTCCTATGCTTATTTGCTACTTTTATATTTTCTTTGGTTAAGCATTTCTGTACATTTCTGCCCATTTTCTAATAGGATTATATATTTTTTACTGTTGAGTTTTGAGAGTTATTTATATTCTAGATAGTAGTTCTTTTGTTCAATTTGTGGTTTGCAGATAGTTTCTCACAGTCTGTAGATTGTTTTTGCATTCTATTCATATGGGCTTTTACAGAGCAAAACAGTCTAATTTGATCAAGTGTGGTAACTCTTTCTTTTATGGGTGGTCCTTTTGGTGTCAAGTCTAAGAATTCCTTGCTTAGTCCTAGATCCCAGAGATTTTTCTTCTAGTTTTTTTTCTAAAAGTTTTCTAATTTATATTTTACATTTGGTTTGTGGTTCGTTTTGATTTGATTTTTGTAGACTGTAGGATGTTTATTTTATTTGGTGCATTTCCTCTGATATGTATCATCTCGGTAATCACTGCTGTGTCCTTGCTTTCAGATCTCTATGTGTATGCTGTGCTCGTGTGCTGCATCGGGATCCTCAGTGTTCTGCTCTTCACCCTGACCATTGTCTGGCAGTCTGTGCTTAACAAGAGGAAGTCCAGAGGTAAGAGAACAGAATGCTCATGACTGGAATGGGAGTACAACCAAACTACAGACAGCAGAAGAACTCTGGACAAAGTGTCAACTTGGTTGAAAAAGGTAGCAGTCAGGAATTATGTACCTGTGAATGGCCAGCCAAGTGAGCAAGATATGCCTCCCTTTCACTCGCTAAAATTGACTGTGATCACTGTTATCTTTTAATCCTCTTTAAAAAATCCCTTCCTTCCTTCTTCTGTTTTAAGGGCCCTTACCTCTGCCATTCTCCCAGAAGAGGCTATGGGTCAAATGAACCTGGGTTTGATTCTGGCTCTGCCATTTGAGACTGAGTTTTTAGAAACTTTCCTTAGCCACTCTGAACTTTAGATTCCTCATTATGAAATTCAGTAGGATTGACAGCACCTTACTTAGATTGGATTTTGTTGGAGTATTTATACTTTAAGTGTAGTGCCCAGTGGTGTGCTTGCCAAGCAGGTGGGATTATTAGAGAGCTTTTCTCTTCCCTTTCTTTTCAACTAGTCTGAGGGTTCCCTTGTTCTTGTTGGTGTCCCTATTCCCCTGAACTGCCCCACTTTACTCTTTCTTCTTAGTGAATCATTTTTCCCCACAATTGCTATCTGCTTTCTGTCTTTAGCCCTCCTATCACCAAGCCCCAATGTCACATTTCCACAAGCTCCTGTACATTTCTTTTGAGCAACCCATTCTGCAACCCCTTTCAGAATTTCTGAAACAGATGAGGACCTTGTTGCTCCTCAAGATCTGGATCAGAACTGGGCTTGAACATTACACCATTTTGGTTCAAACAATGACTCTTCACTTACCAGCTGATGACTTACCCACCTTGCCTTACAATTCCCATTTAGATAATGGAGAAAACAGTAATATACCAGCCTCATAAGATTGTTGTGAGGATTAGATTTAAAAATAAAAATAAAAACAGAAACCCTTAACACATTCTGGCTCCTTATAAATATCTTGTATTTATGATGACACATAGTTAGAGTTGTACATAATTACTCTTAGCCTAAGGTCATAAAGTTAGGAAGAATTAGATTCAGTGGTCACAGCTTAAGGGGACAGTCAAACAGGGAAACTGAGCAGTGTTTCCAGAGAGGACTCTCTTCAGAGGTTCAAGCAGGGTTAAGAGAACTAGGGAGAGTGGGAGGTCAGGTACTCATGGACCAGCACCTGTGAGAAGCTGTTTCCACCCTAGATCTTGGGGGACAAGGGGAGGAGAGGTACCTATAACTTGTAATAACTGCAGCTGTGGAAGAAGTGTCACCAAGAGGAACCTTAGAAGAGGGACTTAGGCAATGATAAACCAGGAGGCAGAAGGGAAGTAGCCAGGAGCATACATTCCTCAGCCCTTCCCTATCCCTTCCTCCAGATATTCTGCTGTTGCTTCAGTCCCACCAACCAGAATTCATAGAAGTGCTTAGAAGTCAGCCCCCAGGATCCTAAGCATGGCAGAGAAGGGTGGACAGGGACCCAGGGAGGTTTCCCGGGACACCCAGAACACTGAGCACCTGAAGATGGAGTGAGGGTGGTAGCCAGATCCTTCTCCTCCCAGCCTGTGCCCTTCCCACCAGGCTCTGTATGTGACTCCTAACTGTGCTCTGAGAGCTGTCCTCCATGGTATCTGCCACCCACAGCAGCAATTCCTGAGCTTTCCTCCTGCCTAAAACCCTTGACTCCTTCTGAGAGCTCATGTGCCATGTTGCATGTGTCCCTTCAAGAGAATGGTGTGTGAGAGAGGGACCATGTGTCTAATCTATTCTCCTGCAGTTTGGCTCATGATAGGTACTCAACAAATGGTGGACAAATGGGTTTGGCTTCTAGCTGCTTGGCTCCCATATGTGGAAGTTGGGAAGCCACACAGTCAGTCTCCAAGTCTGTTTTGCTCTAAAGACATATCTGTCTGGGCTCAGGGTCATGACAGAGAACATGCTATGAAGTGCAGGCTATGCTATATATACTATGTTAGTGCTTAGGTAGGAGGAGGAGAACAGAGCAAGGCAGTTCAGGAGATGACCTTCTCCCCCAAATCCTCCAAAGGCAGATTGGGGCAGGCCTCACCCACAGCTACTCAGAACCCAGCTCCTAGCTGCCCTCATCTGCTCCCCCTGAGTGGGCTCCAGATGGTCTCGCGTACACAGTGCCCAAAGCCCTGCTGAGCTACCCACAGCATTGCCTGAATAGCTGCTGCGAGCCAGACCCCTCGCCTGCTCTTCCACATTCTGTTCTCATGTAATACTCACTACCAGTCCAGGATCACAGCCCATATCACTCCCATTTGGCAGACAGCAAAGCTGAGGAGCTTGAGAAAGTCTTGAAAAAGGGAGTACTCAAGCCTAAACCAGCCTGCTTCCTAGCCCCCCATAGTTTTTCTTTTTTAATGATCTTATTTATTTATTTTTAGAGGGAGGGGAAGAGAGGGAGACAGAGAGGGAAAGAAACATCAGTGTGTGGTTGCCCCTCATGTGGCCCCACCTGGGACCTGGCCTGCAGCTCAGGAATGTGCCCTGACTGGGAATCAAACCAGTGACCCTTTGTTTCGCAGCCTGCACTCAATCCACTGAACTACATCAGCCAGGACCACATTTCTATTCAAGGAAATCTTAGCCCTCTGGGGGCTTCCCTTGCCGAGGAATTTTCCTTCAGCCTTCCATGGTGGTTGTTGCTGAGGTCCTTTCCAAAAAGCAGTTCATAGCTTCTGTAGCCCATTGGCAGCTTGGTTCTGGGTGTGTGTAGCTGCCTGTAGCAGGCTGGCATCCTGTAGCCCTGGCAGGACAGATTCTGTCCCATGGAGCTTTAGCAGGCAGGCTGTAGGCCCCAGTCACTTCATGGGCTCATAGACTGAGTGTGAATGGTGGCTCACTATTTGCCCTCACCAGATCCCTTAAAGCAGTGCACTATCCCAACCTTCAGGAGCAGCTCATTTACCTGGGAACTTGCTCAAATGTAGGTTCTGATTTGGTATGTCTGAGCAGGTCTGAAAGTCTGCATTTCTACTCAGATCCCAAGTGGTGCCACCACTGCTAGTTTGGGGCCACACTTGGAGCAAGTTCTTTGTAACTTTATGCTACCCAGCACTCCCTTTTACAGCAAATATATTGAAATGACCCCATTGCTATTTTGAAATGAAAGTAAAAAATAAGATATGCTACCTGTAGCCACAAAAATCAATCTAATGCTGTAACTATAACATTGGGTTGGCCAAAAGGTCTATTTAGTTTTTTTTCTGTACAATAAAAGACACAGTTTTCATTTTCACCAAAAACTTTATTGATTTGGATATTCTGAGTATGTCAGCTATCTCTTGTTATTGGCTTCTAGTGGATAGAGGTCAGGGGTGTTGCTAAACATCTTCTAATGCATAACACAGCCCCACAACAAAGAATTATTTGGCCAAAATGTCAGTAGTACCAAGAAACTTCACAAACCACTTTTGACACATTCTATCAGTAACAGCACCTTCTCCATACACTGCACAAATCTTTTTTTGCATTTCAGTTGCACTTTTATCTTTCTTGAAATAATAAAGCATAATATGCAAAAATGTTACATATTTTCTTTCATCTCTAATATTAAAATGGCTGCACAAAAATTCACCAATTTTGATAAGTGTTTTAAAAATGCGTGCTGATATGACAGCTGTCACAATACAATCTTAACAAAATTGTTTAGAATGAAGTTACAGACAACTAAGCACTACTAAAAATCATCATACAGAAGAAGAGCCATCACATAGAAGAAACTAAATGAACTATTTGGCCAACCCAATATAAAGGAGAAATAAATGTAATTTATAACACAATAAAACATTTCATATTAAATCTCTTCTTTTGAATGTTCAATTTTAAAGAAGACAATATCTTTAATCCAGTTGCCCTCAGGGGGTGGGCCTTGTACTTTGAGAAGGCTTTACCTAGGTCTTATGCTCCATCCCTTTTTTTTAAAAGATTTTATTTATTTATCTTTAGAGAGGAAGGGAAAGAGAGAGGGAGGGAAACATCAATGTATGGTTGTCTTTCATTCGTCCCCTACTGGGAACTGGCCCACAACCCAGGCATGTACCCTGACTGAGAATCAAACTGCAATTGTGTGGTTCACAGGCCTGCACTCAATCCATTGAGCTACACCAGCCAGGGAACTCCATCCCTTTAGTTGGAGGAAATTAGGTCTCCAGGAACCCCTGGGGACAGGCCCAATAGAGTTCTGCTTTCCTCCTAATACTCTCTCTGGCATGGAAGTCGTTTTATTAGGTCCCCTTTTCACAACTGAGAAAGTAGGGGCATGCAGAGCACAGGTAAATTGCTCACACATTGTACAGAACCCCCAATACTGTCACTTCCATTTCCAAACCATGTGTGTCCTCTACAGAACTTCCACAGAAGTAACCCTCATGTAGTCCTGTCCCCATTGCAGGCAGGTGTGGGAGGGTGCAGACACCTTTGTGATGCTCTGGACAGCAGCCCCTGGATCAGAATCTGTGGAGTTTTAGGAGTGGGTTTGTAGGTAGATTTGCAGTGAGGAGCCCTAAGCCTCCATTGAGGCCTGGATTATAGGACCCTTCACAACTGGTTTTCTCAGTGAAATTTAAAAACAACAAACTGATCTGAATGGAGGGAGGGGATCTGATAAGTCTGATCTTGTTTCAGGTTTGTTCTGAATATGTAACTTAGAGCAGCTGCCTTTCTTGTCATTGAGTAAGCAAGCTCTTACCCAGAGCATGCACACTGCTAATCCCCAAATGTTGCAGGTATCTGTTGCTGCATAAGAAATCATCCCAAACACAGTGGCTTTAAACATTTATCTCCTCAAGATTCTGCAATCTGAGCTAGGCTCAGTTAGGTTGGTTCTGCTGGTAGTCACCTCGAGTTTCCATGTGGCCTCAGTCATCTAAAGTGGAACAGGGCTAAGATCCAGGATGGTGCCACTCTCAGCCCTGGGTCCCACCTCTGACACACATGGGACAGCAGGGCCAATAACATTGCTCTCTGTCTC